CCTGATTGATAGATGCCGCTAATAGTAGGGAGGGTGCTCCTTTGCCGCAGAAGGTGAAGGAGGCAGGTTGTAATGTGGACAGTGAGAGGAATCCAACGATACCAAAATCATCGATATCGGAGCGGCGGAGGTAATATAGAAAATTACCCACATCTCTGCCATTTCTTCCTGGCTGGTCGCTATTTCGCGCAGGAATCCGTCTCCGAGTACGAGCACCCTCCAAACTCGGCCATCGCGGCGGCTATGGCGAAGTACTGAACGCGACGGTTTCGGTTGTTCCAGAGGACGGGAAACTCGACCTTGAGGCCATCGGTGTAACATCGAAAGAGGCGCAAAACCCGCGACGAGGGCGGGAACCCTGTTCATCCTGATTATACTACAATCGTCTCTATATACAATGCTGACTATGCAAGGTTAATATGCTGATTCATTGGGAATGTTATGAGGTAATTGTAATATTACGCCCGCCGCTCCGACATCGACGATGATTGTGTAACGCTCTAGCCTGCCGTGAATACGTGGTGGAGGTTTTGTTTCCTTGTGGGGTTAGGGGTCGCAGGGAGCGCAGGCCCTGCAGGGAAAGTCATGTGAATAACCACAGTTATTTTCACTGTTGCATTATATTATCGGGGCCAAGTTTGTCGCTAACGGGGGGCTTTCCGCGCAATAAAAACTATAGTTTTGTAATGTGGACAGTGAGAGGAATCCAACGATACCAAAATCGTCGATATCGGAGAGGCGGACGTAATATAGAAAATTACCATGGTTCTTATTATCATATATGTGATGCAAGCCACAGATTCAAGACATACCTAGATATCCATTAAATTTTCGCGGCGCATTTGAGGGATGGTCGCGGAGCACGGGTTGAGAATCTCTGGCATAAACTATTGTTTTCTTTCTTTGGTAACCGAGTGAAAGAAAACGGAGCTTTGTGCACTGAGGGAGGTCTGTGGAAAATCTCTTCGGTTCATGGTTTGATCTTTCGTCAATACCCTCCTCTTCACTGGTGTGGAGAGATAGATAGATAGATAGAGATAGATAGATAGAGATAGATAGATAGATATAGATAGATAGATATATAGAGATAGAGATAGATAGAGATAGGTAGACAGATAGAGATAGGTAGAAATAGATAGATAGATAGATAGATAGATATAGATAGAGATAGATAGATAGATAGATAGATAGAGATAGATAGATAGATATAGATAGATAGATAGATAGAGATAGATAGATAGATAGAGATAGATAGATAGATAGAGATAGATAGATAGACAGATATAGGTAGACAGATAGAGATAGATAGATAGAGATAGAGATAGATAGATAGATTGATAGAGATAGAGACAGATAGATAGAGATAGATATATAGATAGAGATAGATATATAGATAGAGATAGATAGATAGAGATAGATAGATAGAGATAGATAGATAGAGATAGATAGATAGAGAAAGACAGATAGAGATAGATAGCTAGATAGCTAGAGATAGATAGATGGATAGAGATAGATAGATAGAGATAGGTAGACAGATAGAGATAGATAAATAGAGATAGATAGATAGAGATAGATAGATAGAGATAGATAGATAGAGATAGATAGATAGAGATAGATAGTTAGATAGAGATAGATAGATAGAGATAGATAGATAGAGATAGATAGATAGATAGAGATAGATATAGATAGATAGATAGATAGATATATATAGATAGAGATAGATAGATAGATAGAGATAGATAGATAGATAGAAATAGATAGATAGAGATAGATAGATAGAGATAGATAGTTAGAGATAGATAGATAGAGATAGCTAGCTATATATAGATAGATAGGGATAGATAAATAGATAGAGATAGATAGGTATATATATATATAAATAGATAGATAGAGATAGATAGATAGATAGATAGAAATAGATAGATAGAGATAGCTAGATAGAGATAGATAGTTAGAGATAGATAGATAGAGATAGATAGATAGATAGAGATATATAGATAGATAGAGATAGATAGATAGATAGAGATAGATAGAAATAGATAAATAGAGATAGCTAGATAGAGATAGATAGTTAGAGATAGATAGATAGAGATAGATAGATAGATATAGATAGATAGAGATAGATAAATAGATAGAGATAGATAGGTAGATATATATATATAGATAGATAGATAGATAGATAGGGATAGATAGATATATATATAGATAGAGATAGATAGATAGATATAGATAGATAGAGATAGACAGATAGAGATAGATAGATGGATAGAGACAGATAGATGGATAGAGATAGATAGATAGAGATAGTTAGATAGATAGATAGATAGAGATAAGATAGATGGATAGAGATAGATAGAGATAGATAGAGATGGATAGCTAGAGATAGATAGATAGAGATAGATAGCTAGAGATAGATATAGATAGATAGAGATAAATAGATAGATATATATAGATAGATAGAGATAGATAGAAAAGATAGACAGATAGAGATAGATAGATAGAGATAGATAGATAGAAAGAGATAGATAGATAGAGATAGATAGATGGATATAGATAGATGGATATAGATAGATGGTTAGAGATAGATAGATGGATAGTGATAGATAGATGGATGAATAGACAGATAGATAGATAGATAGATAGATAGAGAGAGAGAGATAGATAGATAGATAGATAGATAGATAGATAGAGATAGATAGATAGATAGATAGAGATAGAGAGAGAGATAAACATCATGATAAAGAAAACAGATATGAATGATGAAATTGTACCATACACAATTTTAAAAGGAGGAACATTAGATTACAGTTACAATTTGTTGTTTCAGAGAGATTCGCTGTGTTACTTCCTTGTTACAATTTTATTACACATTTGGGTACACGTATCATAGTGTATCTAAATAGTACACATACGGGGGGGTGTAACGTTTTAGATCTGCCGACGAAAGGCCTTCATTTTGGGCGTGGTAATGAAAAATTAGTCGTATCTTAAAATAATAGCAGTAAATTGCCGCTATTATTCTTTACTTATTTGTAAATTATTTGTGCTTCGTTCGAGATTACTCGAATTTCTAGGACTTTGCTGACTATAAGAGGTATTAACACCGCTACTTTATAGTGTAGTTGAATGGCACGTGGCGTCAGTGATACACTTGGTGGCTTCACTATTTACTGAAAGAGAAGACCCGATATGAGAAACTATGGTAGTCGGCGATCCGTGCTGAGGGTAGAGCCGGGCCGGGCCGCCGGATGGGCAGGGTGAGCGAAGAGTGAGTGAGAAGGTCATGATGATGAGGATGAGTCCGATATGCGAAGCTGAGCCTCGCCCGGGCTATGGGGAGCCCGGCCTGTGCCGACAAATGTCGACTCGATCAACGTGTGTCAGCGAGTGCTGACGCGACAGAGCTTAGTCCTTACCCACCGTGGTGCCCAGCCACAGCAGTAACCTCCGGGCGACAATTGCAACTTCTCGCGCCTGGGCGGGTCGCGAACCGCCGACCCTCGGATGTGAGGCCGACACGTTACCACTGTACTAGCTTAGAGGCTAGTACAGTGAAGGTCAAGGTCTGATGAACTTATATATCCCTTGGCTGACGGCGTGGCCTCTATATTTAGAAGAGCGTGGCTTGGGTGGAGCGGGGCAGACAGCAAGCGTGGGGTACCACATATCGACCATGCGGACCGGTAGATATGAATGCACGTGGTCTGCAAGATTGCATGCATTGCACCCTACACTGAAAAGTATCGGTTTTATCTTTGCCGAGAGAAGCTTTTTCAGAAGTATTAAACACCCATCAACCCCTTCGCGACGGCCCTGTGCATACCATACACATATTAGTACACGTTTTAGTACACCTAATGTACGAGTATTTGCAGCCATAACTTATAAATATTACCACAAATACCATACAAACATTAGCAGACTTACCATACAAATATTGGTAAACGTATCATACAAGTATTGATACGCATACCATACGCGTATTAGTACATATACCATACATTCATAAGTACAGGTAGCATACAAGTTCCATTGTACGTAACATATAAGTATTAACCTTTTTAAAGAAAATCGTGATTTTCAGCTCATTTTTCATTTTCCTGGAAATAAATGTCGGCGGGCCCGCTATTTAAGAAAAAGAAAAAAAAATGCTGTGGCCTATGTATCCACTTTAATTAGCCAAGTAATCAGAAAAATAGGTGAGCAATGCAAATAGGAATAAAGCCTATAATGAGAAAATGGGAATATTGGGAATTGTAAAGGGTAAATTGGTAAAAAATGACGTTTCTTTAATTAGACTGCTAAGCCTTATTATTGTTATTATTATTATTACAAATTGCAATGGCTTTGCTTATATAACTTTCCTCTTTTTTTTTTTTTTTTTTTTTTTTTTTTTTTTTTAGAAAATGCTCAAAATAGACAAGGAATGTACACAGACTCTGCACGGGAGAAACAAGTCCTGATGGCTTGATTCCAGAACTTTTGGAGAATCACCTAACAACACGCTATATTCATTTACTTTCCTATATATATCTGTGGCTCTGAAAGGTAAAGATATCAACGTTTTTTTATGATTAACAGATTATGATTAACCAAAAGCATATGCACCTGAATACGGTATCCCCTTTATCTATTAAACTTATTGAAGTATTTCGTTTAGTCGATTTTTTAAACCTGTAATCATATATAGTGTAATGATAACAGTAATGAGAATAATGATAATCCTCATAAATTTCATTATCATTGCCATTACAATGATAACAGTAAAAATGAATACTATTGTTATTAATGTTTATCATCATATTTTTTTATCCTTGTTATCATTGTTATTATTGGTATTATTATTATCATTGTTTCATGTTATTATTATAACGATATTGGTAATATAATACCATTATATGTTAACTGTCTTTCGATTTCCCCTTCCATTTCTTTTTCTTCGTTTCTTTCTCTTTATTTTTTCACGCCATATGTAGAAAAAGGATACGAAAAGAAGTATATAAAGCTGCAAATACTATATTCAAAGGGTTATAAATGTAGGCCTATAACATGTCTAAATGAGAATAAACTGTATTATTTCTAAAGTCTTCAGTGCTTGACTTTACTGGCCATTCCCTCTTGCCTCTCCTCGTCCTGCGAAAGAAATGCACTCGGGTTAGGTACCTTTGAAGAGGCCATCGCGGTGTGCATGGGATAGGCCTATGATCTTGCCAGAAAAGAAATCTCAAATATAAGCAACGCTCGGAGAAGAAAAAACGGGAAATCGCGAAGGGGTTTCTCTCTCCCTTACTTGTGTTCAGAGCAAAGCCTGATTGAATTCTTGACCATGAGCTCGAGCCAGAACGTGTGCGTCTGGATGAGAGTAAATGCCATCGGGTAGTTGGAGCTGGGGTCGGTGACGGGTCCCACGCCCGTGACCTCGACGCGACCTGTGCTTGGGTCTTGGTCAACGGTCACGGATAGTTCAGCCTGGGAAAAAAACGAACAGAGTTTTATTTCTTGTCACTGGTTCTGTTGAAAAAGAAGAAAGGCACATTTTTTAAAATATAAATATCGAGGGGTATGTATAGACTAATAGGTAAATAAGGAATTGAGAAGTAGGCATACGAATATACAACGAGGAACAAGCAAAAATGACTATCTAAACGCACGCGCGGAGAGAGAAAAGAAATCAAAGTTACCCCTCAAAAATACCCCCACCCTAACGCCAAACATAGAAAACGGTGCATCCTCGAGTTTAGTTACCTCTTTGAAAAGGCCTCAAGACACACACATGTGTGTCTGTTGAGGATCTCGTAGAGCGAATTCCTACTCTGGCCGCCTCCAGTTCCGAGGGCTCCGAGGGCTTCGAAGCAGAGCAAGGAATTGAAGGTCTTGGAGTTGGCCCAAGAAGATACTTTGTCACGCCTGTTGATAGATTGGCGGCGGTTTATTATCATTCCTCTTATATGGCGGGAAATATTGAATCAGAGGTTAAGATGAACATTTCCATTTCCTAGGTAGGTAAGTTAGCTCTCTCTCCTCTCGCCACCCCCTCCCCTTCCCTCTCTCTTGTAAATAATGGAATAAAATATTTTGTGTATGTGTGTGTCCATCCGTACATAAATACACACATATTTAACCAGATGCAAAATGTGTATATTGTTAATTATATAGTTAAACACACACAACAAACAAGAAAACACACACACACAACACACACACACACACACACACACACACACACACACACACACACACACACACACACAACACACAACACACACACAAAACACACACATATATAAATCGAGAGAGAGAAAGCTAGACAGGCAGACAGACATAGATCTGCTTCGCGACCCATACAAGCCCATTCCCACAGCCTACTCACCTCCTCTGGGAGATGCTTCGAATCCGACCAGTGTGGTTGTCCCATCACCCACGGCGCTCACGACGTCGTTGATTCCGGGCAAACAGGCTGGCTGCACCTCGTCTGGGAAAGCGGAAAACGTTGGAGAACGTGTGGCGTGATATATCAGGATGTGCAAGTCCAAAGGTATTTTTTAGGCTAAAGGAGTTCGTCGAGTGATTTCTTAATTTGAGTTTTCATCTATGACTTTATTATTGGTCTGAACGTTGATGCGCAGCAATAAGGAGACTGTGTATTAACGGGAATATACAGATGTTCTTGTCGTATATGTAGGTTTGAGTTACAGAATAGTTATTAAACGTTTTGCTGGAAAAGTGACTGAGACCTTTTTTGGCCACGCTTGCCTATATATATACATGCATTTAATAGATGTATACAAAAAAGAAATTATCTGTTTACCTACTTATTTATCCATATATATTCTTTAGGAGGGACATTATGAATGATTTTTAATATAACTGACAAGGTCAGAATAAGAATTGTTTATACTAGCAAATGTATTATTAAGATTTCTTTACAGCTATTTGCTTATTTAGTGTTTCAGCGGAATACGCTCAGTTTTAAATCTTATTTTGTTTCCATTTATGATAAATGTTATTGTAACAGTGAATTCACATTTTCTAAAAGTAATTACGAATCGTCAATCTGAGACACGAGCTGCATCTCCAAACTTGTATTCTAACAATCATTTATCTCCAAAATCATATTCTACATTTCATACTTAGTGTGCAGTATGCATATAGATAGCTAAATCAGAAGATTGAAGATGCTCATAATGATATTGATATATAATAATAATAATAATAATAATAATAATAATAATAATAATATAATAATAATAAATGATTGTAATAGTGGCGATAGTAATGATGATAATAATGATAATGATGATAATACTAATACTAGTCATAATAATGATAATGATAATAATAATGATTATGATAATATAATAAAGTCAATAACAATGATATTAGTAACGGTAACAAAGACGATTGTAATATCCTAATGTTGCCAATAACAGTATTACTTCTACTATAATAACAATAAAAATGATAACGATAATAGCAAAAGCACTATACTACTACACAACAACAATTCTAATGCCAAAAACAACACACAACAACGATTGCAATAAATATGACTAACCGTTGAACACCAGCTTCTCTGTCATGACGATGCCGATGTTGTGGCCGTTGGTGACGTCATCATCACTCTTCAGACTCGGGTGGAACCATCTGTTGGACACTTTGTAGGCCGTGTTCTTCAGGAGGACGTGGTCACTGGAGGTCAAAGGAGGAGGTGGCGGTGAAGGGAGGTCGTTGCGGATAATAAGTAGTTGGGGGTATTTAGGTCGTTGGGGTATTTAGGTCATTGGGGTATTTAGGTCGTTGGGGTATTTAAGTCATTGGGGT